ACTAAAATGTCATCAGTTTTCGTCGACTAAAACTAGACGAAAATAGTCATGGATAATTCTGACTAAAATAAGACTAAAATGCTCAGACTTTTAGTTGACTAAAACTTGACTAGACTAAAAAGAGTATGAACGTGACTAAAACTAATAAAAACTAAAATGACAGCTTCACACAAAGACTAGACTAAAACTAAAATTAAAACAGGCCGCCAAAAACAACACTACACAGGCAGTTTTTAAATAATATTTTCATGTCGATATAAAGTTGTTGCATATTGTTGAAACTAATCATGGTAGTGGTATCTTTGTAGGACTGTATAGAACAGTGGCACGCGAAAGCGAGTGTCTGGCGAATATCGAACCTAAAACTAACTTTACCGCGCTAGCATTAAAATGCAATGACATTTACATTGTCGTCGCATTTCGTGCGCCACTGATAAAAGGCTGCCTGACGCACACCTAAAATTCGAATGCAACATTTTTGCATTGGAATGTGGATTTTTATTTTAAATTCGACGAATATTCGAAATTCTACTTTTTTTTGACAGCCCTATTGAGTATTTGTGATCAGACATCAACAGTGCTGTCTAGGTTCGCTGTGTTTTGACACACAGTCTATATGACCTGCATGATTTTCTCTCACCTGTCCGCCAGCTCCAGAACCTCATGCACGTTAGCGGTGCTCACTCGTATCTCGCCCGTGTACATGAACTGGATGACGCTCTCCACCGTCTCCTGGTCGAGGCCTGCCTCGCTGCTCCACTCCTTCATCTCCACCCGCCGCGTCACCGACTCCGAAAACTGACCCCCGAGCAGCGGCGTGAAATAATCCGTGGCCGCAGCCAAGACTGAGCGGTGGGCGCTGAACTCGAAGCTGTTGGCGGCTCCCGGGGCGCTGCTGAACACCAGCGTCACGTCGCAGAAGAGCCCGAGCTTGCGTTGCTCGTTCTGCCGCCGGGAGAGCTCCGAGCAGTGGGTGGCGGAGGCAAACTCCTCGGCCTCCTCAGACTCTCCGTCTCCCGCTAGAGCGCTCGCCGTGCTCGGCCCGCCGCTGTTTCGGTTGGCGTCCTCTGGATTCGGGGCGGCTGCGGCCATCTCGGTGTCCGCGCGGTCGGTTCGTAAAGTGCGTAGTATGTTGAGGTGGTGGAGCACACTCAAACATACACACTCCAACATAAACAGCGCTTGACATGCGCACACGCAGCATACACCGCAGGAGTCCTGTTGACGTTACAGGAACTGACGAGGGACATGGGTTGCTGATCTGGGAAAAAAGAAATAACAAAAATATCAACGGTGTATTGTTTTGAAATAACATAATGTGTTATAAAATATTATGTTATAAAATAAAATACACAATATGGTGTCAGTCTTCAGTGTACATTAAGCTCGACATTACCGCAAAATAAACCTCGTCACGAATGGCATATTCCTGGACTAATTAAATGTCAAATATTATTTATAGCCATTATAAAGACTGGGGTTCCCAAACTTTTTTTTTTTTGACAGCAGAACCCGTTAGACTTAGAATAGGCCTATGTAGTTTACTTGTAGGCCTACCCCTTGAAATTTTAAGTTTTAGTTTCCACAATTTAACGACACATTCGCATATTCACGGTTCTGTGATGTTGATTAATGATCAAATAACATCGAGGCAAACAGATAAAATGTGTTTTCAGTTTTTTTTTTTTTTTTTTTCTGGATGATTATATAAAATTTTAACAAAAAACATGTCTAATTAATTAAAATCATGAAACTTGTTTAATTTAACAGCAATTCAGGCCTAGTGTGTGTGTGTGTAGTTAATTTTTTTAGCACTATGGAATGAAATTACGACTTCATGAACAATGAATTGTCCACCCATCCATTTTCTATTTGTGTATTGGAATGCAGATGAACATATAAAATTAGAGAGCCATCTGCTTGCGACCTCTTGACTTTGCAGTTAGCTTGCTTTAATTTTTCTTATGCACTGGTTCACTAAGCGAATCAGCCAACCAGAATGATCAGCATTATTACAGACATGGGCGTCGCTAGGCCATTTTTAGGGGGGCTATATGGGATGATATTAGACTCAAAATGATTAATAGATGCACGCACAATTATCCATGTACTGCATACATTT